ATCTTAATTATTCCACGTTCGTTAATTAAAATAAATTATAGACATAATTTTTATAGTAGAGAGTAGCGATTGTTATAAAAATATTAATAATAACTGAATAGTAATCATAATGGAATCCCCATTATCCCTCTTATCTTATAGACCTATCATCATAAATCTAACTCGGAAAAAAGTAATAGAATATAGAAAAAATGCTGTACTTTTTATTTCTGCTAAAAAATACATTACTTTAAAAACATTTATAAATTTTAAAACGAACTTTTTTTTTAGTAAATTTAATATAACTCATACGTACACGTGCCCTATAAACATATACGTATATTTATATTTATATTCAATAGGTCAAACATTTTCATTTTTTTTTTTTTTTTTGTAGCAGGTAACTTAAATTTATAAAATATATCAAGCACAATTCTTAATATAAACACTGCTTAATACAGATGAATGGAAAAGTATCAAATATATCAATCTAAAAGTATAAAGTAACAGATAGTTTATAGAATTCAGTAATTTGAGTCAGTTCTTACATTAAATCAACCTAACACCTTTATCTTCTGCCCTTGATAATCTATTTTCTTATGCTAATCAATAATGAAAAGTTGTGTCTAAGTTATTACATTATCAATTGTTATATATATATATGGAGTCATAAACTTTTAAACAGTATAATCACGGATCAAATAAGATAAAAGTAGCTATTATAGCAACATATTATGTCTGGGAACTTGCAAAGTTCATTATCTGACAATGGTAAATTTTATATAAATGATAATACAAGTAAAGTTAGTAATACTTCTTAACCATTATGGCAATAACCATAGAAATGATCCTCCATTAAAATGGAGCGCATTACAAAACTTACAAATAGAGGACATGTCACCAATGTCGAAATATTTATCGTCTAATATGGTGTGAAAGTCCTTTTTTTTAAAGTAATTTGATCTTACAATTTGTAATTAATTAAACTCGAAATTCATTTAATTTTTAAATTTTTATAACAATTGTAGGCTTTATTATATAAAAACCCTCCACAGATTTCCCAATTTATTTATAAACTTTGATCATAATAAAATTAAAGAAAATCTACTCAAAGACTTTGCGATAATAAAACAGNGCACTGCACATGTATTTGTAAAATCTAAGTGACTCATACAACATGAAATTCATATAAAACGAAATTATCAACAGTGTTATAGGGGGGTCGAGTGTATTTTATTAATATAAAGAGTTATAAATTAATTTATTTAACTTCATGTTATATTGTTTATTTTTTATTTTATAAAGATTAATTACTATTAAAATTATCTATATTTTATAGATGTTTTATTACACATTAGATTATAATTATTAATAAATATTATAGGTAAAATTACCAACTAAAAATATATTTCAATGAAAATTATTTTTAAATTACAGCTATACAATAACATATAAATATATATATATATAAAAGAAAAGAAAAACGGAAGAAAGAAAACTGTTATTAGTGGTTAGATAACAATAACCTGTTTTACGAATTTCATGTAATAAGCCGTATGTAGGTTATAATTATTTTTGTTGGTCAACATTTCATAAAAACCAATCTTTTTTACTAACTGCAGCTTCAATTCCGTATTAGATGGATTTCTGAAAAGCTTTCTTTGTCTTTTATTTAATCTTCAGTAGCTTCACTGATTTAAAAAACAAAATAATAATAATAATAAAATAAAAGCTTCACACACGTAAGTGATAAATTTTATTACTTTTCTAATGTTTAATTAATAACGTTTTAATATAAAACTTATAAAAATAAGTTTTGTATAAGAATATAATTTTTTTTTAATGAAAGTATATTATAATTGTAATTAAATTGATCATTATCAAACACGTTTTTTGATATAGGAACATGTTTAAATTCGATATTCTATTTCTAAATCATATGATTTAGTAATATAAGTATAAATATTTTTAAAAAATATATTAATTAATGATTTTTCTAATGAATTTTTTTCACTATGATTGAATTTCGTAATGCTAATGTATCACACCATTAATCTAGTCATTCCATTCATCATAAATAATAGAAATAGAATGTATATATAACTTTCCCTTGTTTCCTTATCTATAAAATAAAGCAAACTAAATAAATTTTATTATATTAAATAAACGTCTACGTCTTGTTTTTCCCTTTTTTATCAGTAAATTTTCTTTATATAAAAAAATATTTAGTAGTTTTTATACTATAAAAATTTATCAAGCCATAATGAAGTAAGTTTACTTAAATATTATTAAAAATATCACCTAAATATTATTGATATCAAAATAAACCATCAGTTTATTATGATATGGCTGAATTCATTCTAGTAAACAATATTGATTGTGTAATAAGAGAGAAATTATATATGGATCAATAAACATCATTCCATACTTCGTTGATAGATTAAAAATTTTTCTTTACTTTTTTAAAAGTAGGATGATTTAATTTCTATTCAACTATTCTTACCATAAAGTTTATTAGTATAAAGAAGTATAAAACAATGAAATCTATTGTTTAATTACAATTAGATAGTTTTATTGTTTAAAAAAATTGAATTATTATGCTTACGTAAGCAACTACACGAGATGATAATAATTAACAATATATATTTCTTTTAAAGAAATTTTTTAACTTTAATTACTAAATTATATATGTTAAAAGCATTTAATACAGTAAAAACTCACTTAAATGACTAAATTTAGGATATGTAGTGTAAATGAGGTGTTAACTTAGTGGAGTTCTGTTTAGTGTTTTAAACAATAGATTGTGATTTTTCTGTTCTGTTAGTCTGGTAAAAGGAGCTAAATGTCATTCTATTAAGTTAGATGAAGTTTTATTTATGATTTATTAAAGTTTATGCAGTTTTACAATGGAATTTCATATGTGTTTACGAGATGGCCACGTAACTGAGATGAACACAAAGCGAGGTTTTATTGTATTTAGAACATATCTAATTTAAATTATATACGACATTTTCTATAGTATACTTAATTAAGATCTTCCAATTCGATAAAATTATTTAGTTTTTCCANATGATACTTGAATATATAATTTAATATGATCGATAATAGAAACATTATAGATGTCAGAATACCGCTTACATCTATTAATACGTGATTAAAATTAATATAATAAATATTTTGTTAGATTTAATAATAATAATGTTTTTATGATACTTCTCGTTTGTTATTAAGTAAACAAGAGCTTGCTTGAGTAGTTGTTTATAGTAATTTAAATTTTTCCCCTTATTTTCATAGCAATTTCTTATTATTCTCATCGATAAAAAAAATTCTCTTTACCTTACTTTCTTTAATGATAATATGAATTTTAAACTTCATTTTTAATCGCAAGTAGCGTGTTTATAATGTTAAAACTTCGCTTAATTACCCATAAAAAAAATATTTTATGCAACGTGTATAATGATAATTTGTTAAATGGTTATAAATATTTGCGAGATAATACAGTTAAATAAGAAAATAATAATTATACAATCGTATATTAATATTATACTGGAAAATTGAAGAGTAAGGCTCAATATAGAAGAAGAAAGTCTAACCAAATGTTCTTAATAAAAGGCTTTATTTGTGTTTACACATTTCCTATAAAGCAACACCGTTTAATAAATTCATCAAAATTTCTATATTAAATTATTTTGTTTTAACATTATTAAATATTAAATATGCTTTTCTTTAATGTGTATATATTTTAAATGAGTTTTTTCTAGTGTTAATTTCATAATACTATAATTATCATTATTGTTTCTTATAGTGTAATTTTCACATAAAATATGACAAGTTTTAAATATAACCGCAATTCTTGTACCAAGAAATTCTCAAGTATAATTCCTTTGTAATACACTAATGCATTTTCAGGTTAACGAGCGAAAGTTCAATAACATAACAAATACTTACTTCTAATACATAAAACACATTTTAATATTATATAATAAAATTCATAAAACAAGTAAACAATAAGGTAATTTTGCGTAATTTATCACGGAAATTTTGCATAGATAACAATAAATTCATCCAATGATTTACATTGTCATTTAATATTCTAAATAATACATTGTTTTTATAATTAGTTTGTATTTATTTGTAGTTTGAAAATTAAAATTATTACAGATCTATATGTGAGTTTATTTATTGTTTTGTCAATGGATAAATTAGGAAATTTTTTAATTACATTTTAAATAGTGTATTTCCTATCAAACTAGAAGGTAAACAGTTTAGAATTGTATTACCTCTATACTATTTTTACCATTTATTTATTGTATTTAAATAAATTTAAATTGTTAAAATAATAATTCGATTGTTTTTGGGGTGGTTTTTTGTGCATTCTAAGATGCCACACGTTAAATAACTTGCATAAGTATTATCCTAAAATATATAAGATACCTTATAGTTTCGTTTATAATACTTCCTATATAGTTATAGAAAATAAATTGTTATTATTATAATATTATTATTGAGAACATTGTAATACAGTAGAGTTTGATTATTGTTCATTTCAAATAGATCAAATCCACAATAGAATTGTTAGTAAGGAAGAGGAATGAGGAACAACGTCCCCACTTGAACTGTAATAGAATATCAATAAATTATCGTAATTCAAATCAAAGCTTTATAATAAATAAAGGTTCGAATTCAGATTTCTCCCATGTATCTGTATAGGAGATAGATCGAGCAATGTTCTGTATCTATTCGTTTAGGATCGATGCTTTTGTTCTAAATTTGAAATAATCGACCTCATTTTGTAATGATCGTATCCTATAAAATAAAAAATAAAAAAAAAATTACCTACATTTTAAATTTGTTATGTAAGATTTATCTATAATCGAAAAAATTTATCGTGTAACTACTAGATATTTTATCTATTTCTAAAATAATACATTATGAATTCTTTAAACCTGATTTTAATTTATAAAATTGTGGAAATGAAAAGAATAAACTTTACAACTACATTGAACTATAAACAAAGAAAATCCGTTTGTATCTTGGTAAGTTTTATGTTATTTAATCTTACTCTAATCATATATAAGTTATGTTATTATAGACTTTTTGAATGTAAAGAGTATTAAGTAAATTCTATTTTAAATAAATAGGATCAAAGTTAATTAGATTAATTTAAAAAAAAACTTTGGCTTACCTTAAAATATAATAGAATTAATGTTATAAATTTAGATGAACTTCTGTATAAAATGTCTGTCCTAATTACGTTCAATGAACTTAATAAAACGCATGCAAACATATGATTTCTATTGTGATGAGAACAATTGTATTGTAATGTACGATCGTTACAAACGTTTATAACATAAAGAAAATTCTTTATTTTCTATATTAAATAGAAATATCATATGTTAAGCTATACAATAACATATAAATATATATATATATAAAAGAAAAGAAAAACGGAAGAAAGAAAACTGTTATTAGTGGTTAGATAACAATAACCTGTTTTACGAATTTCATGTAATAAGCCGTATGTAGGTTATAATTATTTTTGTTGGTCAACATTTCATAAAAACCAATCTTTTTTACTAACTGCAGCTTCAATTCCGTATTAGATGGATTTCTGAAAAGCTTTCTTTGTCTTTTATTTAATCTTCAGTAGCTTCACTGATTTAAAAAACAAAATAATAATAATAATTATTAATATTATAATTGGAATAATAGTGCAAAATAAAAACTTGTATAAATCAAAAAATATTCATAAAGTGCCAAAAATATTCTNTTTAATATAAAACTTATAAAAATAAGTTTTGTATAAGAATATAATTTTTTTTTAATGAAAGTATATTATAATTGTAATTAAATTGATCATTATCAAACACGTTTTTTGATATAGGAACATGTTTAAATTCGATATTCTATTTCTAAATCATATGATTTAGTAATATAAGTATAAATATTTTTAAAAAATATATTAATTAATGATTTTTCTAATGAATTTTTTTCACTATGATTGAATTTCGTAATGCTAATGTATCACACCATTAATCTAGTCATTCCATTCATCATAAATAATAGAAATAGAATGTATATATAACTTTCCCTTGTTTCCTTATCTATAAAATAAAGCAAACTAAATAAATTTTATTATATTAAATAAACGTCTACGTCTTGTTTTTCCCTTTTTTATCAGTAAATTTTCTTTATATAAAAAAATATTTAGTAGTTTTTATACTATAAAAATTTATCAAGCCATAATGAAGTAAGTTTACTTAAATATTATTAAAAATATCACCTAAATATTATTGATATCAAAATAAACCATCAGTTTATTATGATATGGCTGAATTCATTCTAGTAAACAATATTGATTGTGTAATAAGAGAGAAATTATATATGGATCAATAAACATCATTCCATACTTCGTTGATAGATTAAAAATTTTTCTTTACTTTTTTAAAAGTAGGATGATTTAATTTCTATTCAACTATTCTTACCATAAAGTTTATTAGTATAAAGAAGTATAAAACAATGAAATCTATTGTTTAATTACAATTAGATAGTTTTATTGTTTAAAAAAATTGAATTATTATGCTTACGTAAGCAACTACACGAGATGATAATAATTAACAATATATATTTCTTTTAAAGAAATTTTTTAACTTTAATTACTAAATTATATATGTTAAAAGCATTTAATACAGTAAAAACTCACTTAAATGACTAAATTTAGGATATGTAGTGTAAATGAGGTGTTAACTTAGTGGAGTTCTGTTTAGTGTTTTAAACAATAGATTGTGATTTTTCTGTTCTGTTAGTCTGGTAAAAGGAGCTAAATGTCATTCTATTAAGTTAGATGAAGTTTTATTTATGATTTATTAAAGTTTATGCAGTTTTACAATGGAATTTCATATGTGTTTACGAGATGGCCACGTAACTGAGATGAACACAAAGCGAGGTTTTATTGTATTTAGAACATATCTAATTTAAATTATATACGACATTTTCTATAGTATACTTAATTAAGATCTTCCAATTCGATAAAATTATTTAGTTTTTCCATATAAAATTATAAATATATAGACTATTTATGATTTGTTATTGAGCAATTCTTGTAAGTTAACAGAGTTTTACACTTCCGGAATTATAAAATATTCAAGTTTTTATATATTTTATAATGTATTTTTAATGTAAATAAAAATGGAAAAATAACCGTCCAGGAAATAGATTTTAGTTTAAAGAGAAAATAATAGGATAATGAAGAAGATTAAAAAAAATATTTTCAATACAATTTTTTAAAATTATTAGCATGAAATTTTTCTTTCTCACATTAAAATCTACATTTAAATTGTTTAAATAATTATTTTTCAGAATTGAAAATTTAATTAAAATCATTAAATGTACAAAAATAATTAAATATAGGCCTATATACCTTTTTTTTTTAAAGTAAACTGTAAACATAGATTCGTTTAATTTATTAAAATTCCTGTATACTTTTAAGAAAAAATTAATTCTATAACTAATAAATTATATTGACAGCTTACAAATAAACAAATTACATTAAAAAGTAAATAAAAAAATTAAATAGGAAAGAACATGTACTCAGATTGTATATGAATTAATAAAAAAAAAGAATTTAACCTTGAAAGAAAAATAAAAGAAATATATGTAAGAATTTTATAATCTATAAATATATCATTTGCATATATAAACAACTAAAATCACGTGTTTTTATATAATACTGATAGATGTTCCTGTATTAACAATGTTCTGTATCTATTCGTTTAGGATCGATGCTTTTGTTCTAAATTTGAAATAATCGACCTCATTTTGTAATGATCGTATCCTATAAAATAAAAAATAAAAAAAAAATTACCTACATTTTAAATTTGTTATGTAAGATTTATCTATAATCGAAAAAATTTATCGTGTAACTACTAGATATTTTATCTATTTCTAAAATAATACATTATGAATTCTTTAAACCTGATTTTAATTTATAAAATTGTGGAAATGAAAAGAATAAACTTTACAACTACATTGAACTATAAACAAAGAAAATCCGTTTGTATCTTGGTAAGTTTTATGTTATTTAATCTTACTCTAATCATATATAAGTTATGTTATTATAGACTTTTTGAATGTAAAGAGTATTAAGTAAATTCTATTTTAAATAAATAGGATCAAAGTTAATTAGATTAATTTAAAAAAAAACTTTGGCTTACCTTAAAATATAATAGAATTAATGTTATAAATTTAGATGAACTTCTGTATAAAATGTCTGTCCTAATTACGTTCAATGAACTTAATAAAACGCATGCAAACATATGATTTCTATTGTGATGAGAACAATTGTACTGTAATGTACGATCGTTACAAACGTTTATAACATAAAGAAAATTCTTTATTTTCTATATTAAATAGAAATATCATATGTTAATTTCACGTAACATGTTACGTGTATAAATTAATACATATGTATACAGTATAATTAAGTGTTCGATTTTTAAAAATAAATTTAAAAAAGAAAAACTTGTATTTCATTTGATATTATTTTTAATATATATTTAAACATACGTATTGATGTTTAAATATATTTAAATATTATGTAATGATACTTGAATATATAATTTAATATGATCGATAATAGAAACATTATAGATGTCAGAATACCGCTTACATCTATTAATACGTGATTAAAATTAATATAATAAATATTTTGTTAGATTTAATAATAATAATGTTTTTATGATACTTCTCGTTTGTTATTAAGTAAACAAGAGCTTGCTTGAGTAGTTGTTTATAGTAATTTAAATTTTTCCCCTTATTTTCATAGCAATTTCTTATTATTCTCATCGATAAAAAAAATTCTCTTTACCTTACTTTCTTTAATGATAATATGAATTTTAAACTTCATTTTTAATCGCAAGTAGCGTGTTTATAATGTTAAAACTTCGCTTAATTACCCATAAAAAAAATATTTTATGCAACGTGTATAATGATAATTTGTTAAATGGTTATAAATATTTGCGAGATAATACAGTTAAATAAGAAAATAATAATTATACAATCGTATATTAATATTATACTGGAAAATTGAAGAGTAAGGCTCAATATAGAAGAAGAAAGTCTAACCAAATGTTCTTAATAAAAGGCTTTATTTGTGTTTACACATTTCCTATAAAGCAACACCGTTTAATAAATTCATCAAAATTTCTATATTAAATTATTTTGTTTTAACATTATTAAATATTAAATATGCTTTTCTTTAATGTGTATATATTTTAAATGAGTTTTTTCTAGTGTTAATTTCATAATACTATAATTATCATTATTGTTTCTTATAGTGTAATTTTCACATAAAATATGACAAGTTTTAAATATAACCGCAATTCTTGTACCAAGAAATTCTCAAGTATAATTCCTTTGTAATACACTAATGCATTTTCAGGTTAACGAGCGAAAGTTCAATAACATAACAAATACTTACTTCTAATACATAAAACACATTTTAATATTATATAATAAAATTCATAAAACAAGTAAACAATAAGGTAATTTTGCGTAATTTATCACGGAAATTTTGCATAGATAACAATAAATTCATCCAATGATTTACATTGTCATTTAATATTCTAAATAATACATTGTTTTTATAATTAGTTTGTATTTATTTGTAGTTTGAAAATTAAAATTATTACAGATCTATATGTGAGTTTATTTATTGTTTTGTCAATGGATAAATTAGGAAATTTTTTAATTACATTTTAAATAGTGTATTTCCTATCAAACTAGAAGGTAAACAGTTTAGAATTGTATTACCTCTATACTATTTTTACCATTTATTTATTGTATTTAAATAAATTTAAATTGTTAAAATAATAATTCGATTGTTTTTGGGGTGGTTTTTTGTGCATTCTAAGATGCCACACGTTAAATAACTTGCATAAGTATTATCCTAAAATATATAAGATACCTTATAGTTTCGTTTATAATACTTCCTATATAGTTATAGAAAATAAATTGTTATTATTATAATATTATTATTGAGAACATTGTAATACAGTAGAGTTTGATTATTGTTCATTTCAAATAGATCAAATCCACAATAGAATTGTTAGTAAGGAAGAGGAATGAGGAACAACGTCCCCACTTGAACTGTAATAGAATATCAATAAATTATCGTAATTCAAATCAAAGCTTTATAATAAATAAAGGTTCGAATTCAGATTTCTCCCATGTATCTGTATAGGAGATAGATCGAGTTGATAATCAGAACCGTTATTGCTTTCCGCATTGAAACAATCAGAACGAAATCAAACGAAATAAAAAATGCACATTGCTATAAAGTATGGAGTTTTATTTTAAATATTATAATAAAAATACTTCTTTTATTAATTTATATTATTCTGTATACGTTTAGGTATAGATAAAGGATTATTATTCTTTATATAAAAAGAAAAGCTTGTAATTATTTCAGTCAAATCATCTTTATTTATAATAATAGAAGAGTTTTCTTAAGGAATTTTTTCAGAAATATTTAATTAAAACATTAATATAATTAACATTTTATTAATTAATATAAAGTTAACAAGTATTTTTAATATATTTTTATATATTTTTTGTTTTTTTACAGTGAAGAAAGGAATGAAATTTCTTTGTGTTCAAAATGCACTTTCATCTCAGTTCTTTCATCTCGGGAAAACTATTGGAAAATATCCATTTTATTTTATTGCTGGAACGTTATTTCTTGCGGCAGGATTATCAACTGGATTGTTTAAAATCAAACCAAATAGAAATATTGACTATCTATTTACTGCCAAAAATGGAAAAGCACAAACTGTTAAAAATCTGGTGGAAAGTCTTTTTCCCACGAACACTTCTAATTTCGCAGATATTCCAAGGATGACAAAATTAGAAATGGTAACAATTATTCAAATTGTAGCTAATGACAGGAAAAGTATCCTAAGAAAGAAAATATTAAAAGAAGTAATAATTTTAGATCAAATCGTTAAAAATTTTTCTATCAATTACAACAATAAGACATTTAATTACTGGAACTTATGCGGGAAAAAATATAAAAATTGTACGGAAAGTTCGTTTTTTAAACTTTTGCCTCACGCTAACGAAATATTAAATGGAAAAAGTAAAATAAAATATCCATTAGATATAAATAATATAACTTTTAAATATGATGAATACGTCGTATCATTAGGAGGAGTAGAAACAGATAATAAAGGATTTGTTAAAGATGTGAAAGCTTTAAGATTTATGTATACGATAGACATAAGTGATAAATATAAAACTGAAGTTATTAGTTTATGGAGGGATGCACTTAATGTAAAATTAATGTCTGTCCAATTCGAAAATATTTATTTTTCATTATTTGATCAACATTATCTTTCGGAAGAAATTCAAGCTGTTTCAGATCGTCTTCTTGTTCGATTACCTATTGTGTTATTTGCTGTTGTTTTATTTAGTTTTTTATCCTGCATTACAAATAAATGGTTGACAAGTAAACCGTGGCTCGGACCTTCGGCTTGTGTATCGGCTGTTTTAGCAATAGCCAGTGGTTTTGGATTAATATATAACATTGGAATAGACTACGTCGATTTTAATATTGGTTTATGTTTCATCATATTAGGTAAGTACACAGCTTATATTTTACTATATATTTTATTAATTAAGTAGAGTTGCTATTAATTGGAAAAATGTATTATTCCACGATGAAAAATATTTCAACCTAGATGATCTAGATAATGTGCATTACTATTGGAATGATTTAGGGCAAGAACTAAAAGTTTAAATGTATAGACAGTAACATGAGAGATCAATAATGATGTGAGTTCAGTGTCGAGTGAACAGAATAATTTAGTAATTGTTCCTACGATAGTAAATTCTGAGAAATATATAAAAGTATTAAATGTGCAGTTATGTGCTTATGGCTGGCTTATAGGCGATATAGCTTTATTTTCAGCACGATGAAGGATAAGACAGGACGAATATACTCTGTTGCAAATAGCTTAATTCAACTAATTCTTCAGACTAGATTTATTTGTAGAAAAACACGTAAACATTCAAATATTTTATTTGATGTTAAGTATGATAATTTTTTATACGGGAAGTGTTTTGGTGATAGAAGCTGCTAGAGTGAAGTTCATTGAACAGCTGGATTTGATGACTCGATATATACTAAATGATAATGATATAGGAATCACGTTGTTTCAAAAATACTCAGTGACGTAAGCGTCGTTCTGTTGATCAATCGCATGTGTTTAAAGGCGCGTGTTTAGCACGCGAATCAACTCGACAGACTTGTGCGAGAGACGAAGCGATAAATAGGGACATAGTTGTCCTGGTAACGGTGACGTTTCGACAATAGTGATAATAGGACTTTACAATAATACAGAGACTTTGTAATTCGATGAATATCGATTCTATTTAATATAATCGTTTATTTCTAACAATGTTAATGACCTTGTTCTCGAATAATCGACACTAGTTTGTTACTAATTCTTTCATACAAGGCCAATTGACAGCGCTGTGTTCCATTATTCTCATTGTTTTCATTGAATTACATATTCATTACTTATTTTCGAGAACACAGTTCACGGAAACTCATTTGATTCTTGAACATTTTTGAATATTAAAAGCTTTATAATCAATTATTCTTTTGATTATTTACGTGATTTCAATTTAAAATTTTCTCGAGAAAGGAGTTAGATGACAGGCATTACTCTATTGTTATCAGGAGAAGTATGATGTATAGGAGCAAGATATTACTAGAATTGAGACCAGATATAGAAAGCTTACGTGCCGGAGAACTCGAATTATATACAAACTTACGATCTGGAGAGATAGTCACGTAATTTTTTTAAATTAAAAGATGATTAAGAATTGCAGCAATGCATTGTAAAGATGTCACAAATAAATAATTGTTCGTGAGGTATAATTCTAATATATTTAAATAGTATAAAAGAAAATATTTAATTTTAGACTAAAAAGTTTAATTTATCGTCAAATAATACTATATTCCCATAGAATGTTAAGAATATAACTTTAATATTTTATATTTACGATTTTTATAGGTACCGAGATTGATGATGCTTTTGTATTAATATCTGCTTGGAGATGCACTTCGACAAATGATAGTGTAGAAAAGAGATTAGGAAAAGCTTATTCGGAAGCGGGAGTATCTATCACAATTACCTCTCTTACTAATTTTATTTCCTTTTGTATCGGAATGACGGCTCCATTTCCAGCAGTGCAAATGTTCTGTGGATACGCTGCCTGCTGTATTTTCTTCACCTACGTCTATCAAATTACATTTTTTGGACCTTGTATGGCTTTAAGTGGTTACCGAGAACAAAAGAAACTTCATCCTTTAACATTCCGTGCAATTTCTGGTAAATATTTTATTCGCTATTAGATTTATTTATTTGATAAATAATAATAATAATTATTAATATTATAATTGGAATAATAGTGCAAAATAAAAACTTGTATAAATCAAAAAATATTCATAAAGTGCCAAAAATATTCTATTTCGTCCAAATTACATCCCTTGTTTTAAATTAAAACAGTAGTAAGATATTCTGAATATTCGGACTGACAAACATCCTTGAAAACAATCAAAAATATTCATATATAATTATAATATTGGTCCGAATAGAAGTCGATGTTTTTACCCAGTTTTAAGTGTGAAAAATCTCTATTTATCTATCAACAACTTGGAAAAGAACACAAGATGGTGTATTGTTGAAGGACATAGTGTCAATGAACTTTAATTTATAATTAATAACTAATCAACTTAACTTTTCATTAGTCATTTAAAATCTTTAAAAACATTTATTGCTTTGTTACAAAATAATATTAAATGTATCAAATAGACGTATTATTTATTAATGCAAGATAAACTAGATTGATATTTGGATCCGCAAAGACCTTTCTTTTGAAAACACGTGCATTTTCGCAGGTTTGCATGAGCATTTTTGAAATCCTTGACAACATTATAATGAATGTTTTCTACGTCCTTTTTGATCACTGTCGGCAAAGTTCTCTATCGATTACAATAGATGAAAGTATATTATCAGGATTATCAGAACTTTATAAACCAGTTTAAGGCACACTATCAAATAAGGCTCGATAAGGTGAACTACCAATGACTTCAGATGTGATTAAAAACATTCCAATAACACTTAAATCAAGACAGAGTTATTTTAATTATTATACTTTACCATACAATTATAAGTTTGACAATGTATTTGATAGGCAAGTTATAATTGTATGGTGAGGTGTAATAATTAAAATAACCTTGTCCTGATTTAAGTGTTGTTGGAGTGTTTTTAATCATCTCTGAAGTCAGAAAATGCAGTTTTTTTTCGTATTTTATATAGTTTTAATTTATAATTCCAATTATAAAATATAAAACAAAGAAGTAATAAAAAGTTTAATTACTTATAATGAATAGGCTATATAAACTTTTATTTTATACATTTTACATTTTAGGAAAATGTATTTTATAGAAAATATTAATTGTATAAAATTAAACTTAAACTAAAATTAAGTATATTTACTTAATTAAAAAAGAATTATAACATTTAATTTATATTATAAATATGACTTTGAAAGATACAAAATTATTGATATTTCATTATTTTACATTTTAGAAAAGATATCGAAGGATGAGAACGAATTAACAGAAAGAGAAAAATCCGATCTAGAAGAAGATTTTTTTATGTCATTATTTAGGGACATAATAGGACATTTATTAACTTTATCAACAGCAAAAATTATAATAATGGTTTTATTTATAACCAATATTGGTTTTGGAATTTGGGGATTTTTAGTAATTAAATGCGGAAATGATTTTTCAGATGTTCTCAGTGATGATTCTTCAGTAAATATTTATACGGATTTATTTTTTAAATATTTTTATCAATATTATTATCCAGTTCAAATTATCATTGATCGTCCATTAAACTACGAAGATCCAAAAGTGCAAAAATCTCTAGAAAATATGATACAACGTTTTGAATCTCATCCTCATATTGCCGATTCTTCTTTAAGAATTTCTTGGTTGAAATATTATAAACTTTTTTCAAATATGCCAATAGGAAAACTTTTATTAAGAGGATATAATATGTCTCATAAACAAGATTTTATAGATGGCTTAAGAAATGTTTTCTTAAGATTTCCTCAAGCTAGAGAATTTCATGAAGATATTGTGTTTAATGAAAATTACACAGAAATTATGGCAAGTCGACAGATTATATTAATGACAAATATCTTTAATCAAGAAGTTGAAGTTAGTGTAATGAAAGATCTATACGAGATTGCTAATACTTCACCAATTCCCGTAAAGATACATAGTTTAGTTTTTCATTTGATGGAACAAGCTCTTCTCATAAAAAATACTATTTATGAATTAGCTTTAATGAGTGCTGCTCTTATTTGTTTAGTATTCTTTTTCTTCATTCCAAATGTAATTTGTGCACTTTCTATATCTGCTATTGTCACTTGTATTATATGCGAGACTGTTGGATTCGCATCTTTTCTTAATGTTAAAATGGATATGCTCTTGTTATGTGTACTTGTTCTTTGTGTAGGATTTTCAATTAACTATCCAACGCACATATCTTATTGTTTTGTAGTTGCTAAACAAATTAGTGCTGAAGAAAGAATTAAAAAATCCATTTATCAAATTGGACTACCAGTTTTACAAGGTATATTTACTACTATTTTAGGAATTTCTGTATTGCCTTTCGAACCATATTATTCTTCTATATCTTTTTTTAAAGTAATATTTATTCTTTCAATTCAAACAGTTTTTCATGCAATATTTGTAATTCCGGTCATATTAAGTCTGTTAAAAAGATGCGATAAATCTTTGTCAAATAATCCAAAGCCAACTGTTAATGATAATCTAGAAATCGAACGATTAAATGAAAATAAAGTATAAATAGTCTATTATTGATTTCTGTGTAATATATATTATTAAAAATTTTCAAGTGTATCATTTGATATTTTATAATACAAATAAATAAAAAGTAATAATTTGATTAACATTGTCTTTAACAAGAATTATTCAAAATCATATTTATAAAATATTCCCAAAGTATCATATCGTTAGTTTCGTTGTAACAACTCGAAAAAAATAAAGCTGAACTTCTTGATTACGAAGTGACTTGTTAGGGATAATAAACATGCGTAAATAATAAATCAATAACGCGGTGGACATATTTAAAATGCCGTATTCGACTATGTGCACCATTCTTAAGCACTATAGTACAGACAAGGAAGCAATAAAAGCAGCAAACGTGGCGAAAGATGTAACAATATTGATTTCCAGGAGCTTGTATGTTGTTTATTTCTACTGGGAGGGGTGTTTTTCTAATCTCCTGGAATGTAGTTTGGATAGATGAAAAGCGATTCATTCGTAAAATCATCTCCGAAAGAATAATTCGTGAGAAAGACAAACAAGCTGCGTATTGATCTTAAGAAACTAGACGTCACCACTCCTTATTATACAGTATTTACATATTTTATTTATTGTTTTCATGACTAATTTATTATTTTAGGCATTTAATTGAGCCTTAAATTTTACGTGTATTTCCTGTTTACATTTTAAAATAACTAATATAATTCTTTCAATAATTATTATAATCACTAAAAAATTATTTAGTAGAAAAAAATACCGTGTTTATAGAGATATTGTGTTTTCTTTTTATTATTAATTTAAAATTAGCATGAAATTTATTTTAAATTAATATCATATTTAATGTAATTCGATCTCGCGTGTTTTAGTTAACAAGAAATTTCAATTTAATAGTATTATATATTATTATTACTTCTATTAACACTTATATTAATATAATTATTAATATTTTACTAACTTATCAATTTTAATTATACCATCCGAAATAAATGGTTTATCGAGAATGACTACAAACTATAATAAAGAAAAGGAAGATAAACTTGGAACATTACGAGTTGTGTATAATATTATATGTACTGTACATGTCCTCAGCCTAAAAAGTATATGTAAGAGAAATGAAAGGCAGTTAGAAAAGAATAAAAGAACACGAATCATCCATTAGATTAAATAATAAACATTCGCCATGGTTTTAACATTGTATTAAAAACAACTGTAAGATTGATAATAAAAAAATAATATAGTGATATTATATGAAGAAAATTTAATTAAAAGAATTTAAAAAAATGTTACAATATAATAAAATATGAATAAAGGACTAGCGCTGGATGCATGCTGAGATGAGATACTGTGGTATAAAGCGCCTTACTGAGGTAATTGTATTTTTTCACCGAAGAAGACTGTGTTTAAAAGGGCAATAAAATCGTCAATTTATGAGTTATGTAGCTGTTCTTGACGGGATGAGAAACATAGTTTTAAACGTTGATTAAATTTTTAGAGGCATATTACCTTTTTATTATATCATTTTTAAGGCACTTTGAGACGACGAGGCCCTAGGTTCGAGCCTAGTGCGCATATTTGGCAATCCGCCACTAATTATTCGGTATATGATGTCTCTATATTCACTCATTGTAAATCTATGCGAGAAAATGCTGATCGCGTAAGTCCAAAACGAAATCATTCAAAATTCAAGACAGTACTCAATATGGACACAAAGCATTTTAAATTTCATCCAAATCGATCCATTAGTCGTGAAGATATTAATCATAATTTTGATCGAAATTAAACCGAGAGATCTTTATATATTGATAAGATGGAAAAGGTAATATTTTTAAAATAATTAAATCACCCCTATTTTACGAATAACCATTCGTATCAGTAGTTTCATGTAAATCCGAAGAGAAAGATAAAGGCAGCAATTATTAGGTATGAAAACGAATAATGTCGAAAGTTCAAAATGTAAATTCTAATAACGACTAACATCGTTATTCAGTCCGACCTTACTAGAGATACACACGACCCCATTATCTTCCTACTAATTGACCTTTAGCCACCAAAATTTAATAGCATCAATTCCCTAATACACAAACCTCCCTGCAGAATTTTAGAAATGTTCTACAAAAAACACAGGAGTTATTAAGCTTCAAACAGAGTGAACAAAACGTGTCACACACATACATATACTGTATTGTATATACACACACACCCGCACAATACCCACTAACATCCATTCATACAAAAATTACCCCCGAATTTTTTTTCATTTTTTCACTTTTTAAGATGTCCTAAGTCCAAAAATGTAAAAATCTTGGAGGGTCATTTTTTTGACCGATCGCCATACTTTCTGTTATATAACAGCTGTTATATATGGGAAAGTAATAAAGAATGGATAGATATGCAGTGGATACTCATCCCAAGTAAATAGTCTGGTCCCTGCTACTTAATTACCTAGGCGAGCCGAGCAGTAAGGATCCACCAGTGACCAAGCAATTCTGTTCCCTGAACACTAGGAGTTCGGTCGTGGGTTCCCGCCTCTCCAAGACTTGGAGTTTTCCGGGTTTTCTCCACGTCTCTAACGCCTGAATAGTAACCAGTTAACTTTATAAAGTCCTCCCGGAAGGCACCCCCTAAGCAGATCACCCAAGTGCTGCGTTGCCGTAACTTAATAAACAAACAAACTGTAAGAAGTTTTTATGAGAAAATCCCGTTTTGGGGCGAGAGAGAATAAAAAAGCAGAGGGCAATAGTTGTTTTTGAGAGAAGAAATATAGCGGCCTAATCCTTGTAATTAATTGTTATAAGTAAATTTTGTTCAGTAGTTTTTTACCATTGCCTTTATCTTATTCGAAACAATAGTACCTTCCATAAGTACGAGTCGTACAATATTGGCACAGTAGACAGAATTAGCTAGTGTGTCTCTACCAACCACGTCTACAAGAAAGAAGCCAAACAAGTAAGGTGCACGCACGAAGGTAGGAAGTCTTAAAATTTAAAATTGAAGTTAAAAGTGTAAAATTTTGATCGTAACAGAAACAAAGCTATAGTTCTATCTATAATAGAAACAAAGCTTTACTATAATAAAGTTATAGTAAAGCTTAAGAGCTAACTCTAGGAAGCAATAGCTTTAAAGATTTGGTGCTGATACTACGAAAACTAAAGGATTTAAGTTGACCGTGATTCGGTTAGAAGCTAATATGTCTACGGTTGAAGAAATTAAATATGATTTAGAAGGAAGGACCATTGAATATTTGAAAGAAGAATTGGAGGAAAGGCAATGATCACGAGTTGGTAAAAAATCCGAACTAATAGAACGATTAACTAGCTCAATGTTAAGTGAAAGTCAGAGTGTTAATGAAACTAGCCAGACAAAAGAGGAACAAGAAATGAATGAATCTCTGTCCGAAGATCAAGTTGTAAATCTAAGTCCTATGGTTTTCATCATACTCATAAGACTTAGATTGGCTAATGGAAAAACTATTATTAATAGATAACCAGCAACAGGCAGTGCGAAACTCAAAGGAGACAGTTATTGAAGTCCAAACTCCACTGAGTTCACTGGTATTGGCATGACAAAGGAGAAACCAATTGGATTTGTTGATCTACCTATTTGGTTGCAAGGCCAAGTCACCACAGCGAAAACAGCAGTGTTCGAGAACAACCCAGTTCCTTTCGCTTTAGGAGTAGATTGGATTGGCCAAGCAGGAGTAAAAATGACGTTGAGGAAAGATAAATGTGAAATAGTCACAAGAGATGGTAATTTGATTCCTGTACAACCTCCCATTGAAGAAGCAACACAAGAATAATGTTTGTTAGCGCTGCAGCAATGCATATAACAGAGAGTAAGACTATTAAGACGAAGACCAATGGAACTATTATCCCCAACCCGAGGAATTTGACAAACTAGCAAACCCAGAGGAGTTCATACTTCAAAGTACAGAGAGCCAGGAATTAATGAAGAACGAAGGAAGGAAATGTAACTCTAATTAGAAAATATGATTGTATATTGCAAAATGAACCGGGAGAATATAACAGTTCATCATCGCATAGAACTGACAGACAAAACACCGGTAAGGAAAACACTATACCATTATTCTTAGAGTGAACGAGAATTTATTAATAAAAAAATAAAGGAAATGCTTTCGTCAAACATTATACGAAAGTCAAATTTACAGTATGCATCTTCAGTCGTATTAGCCAAACAACCTCACCATGTTACTACAAAAATACGACTTTGTATTGATTATCGAGACCTGAATAGCAAGACAAAACGTGACTCATTTCCATTACCAAGAATAAGTTATATAAGTTACATAACGCTGGATAAGTTACATAACGCCAAATAGTTTTTGTCTCTTGACCTTAAGAGTGGTTATGGCAAATTCCGTTGGCAGAAGAAGATATACATAAGACAGCGTTCATTACGGCAGACAGATTGTACGAGTTTAACAAAATGCCGTTGGATTATGTAACGCCCCTGCCACTTTTCAGAGGGCGATGTCAGGATTGGGATACAAGAAGGGATACTAGTTTACCTAGATGACTTTATATTGTTTTCATCAGATTACGAACACCACAAAAACTTACTCAAAACAGTACTAACAATACTAGCAAAAGCTCATTTAAGGATATTATCACAAATGCCAATGGGGATTAAGAGAGTTCTTATGCAAGTGCAAAATGGAGAAAAAGTTGTTGTGGAATATGGTAGTTAAAGTACTAGTGATAACGTATTCTTCATTCGACCAAATTCGATGGGGTCACAGTATACTGGGCTATCTGTGAAAGATTTCGACATTACTTGGTTGGAAAGAAATTTACCCTATACATTGATAATTGTGCAATCAGTTGTTTAGACTAAAAGAAAAGTTGTACGCAAACTCACTCGCATAGCTTTAGAGTTACAGGAATATAAATATGACGTTAAGCATAAGACTGGAGCTACCAATGTACTACCCGACATATCTAGAAATCTAATCCAAGAATTGAACGTACAAATGCTAATCATGGAGAGGAGAATCTCTAGTGAAA